TATACTGGTATTCCTCGGTTGCAAGTTAGCAAACGGTACTCATCAGTTTCTCCTTGGGAAGGTTCCGGGCGATACTGGTATTCCTCGGTCGCGGTTCCACAATCAGTACTCATCCGTTTACGTCGCTGAGGCTACAGGTCACTACTGTTCGGGGAGTCGGTACTTGTCAATCTTCGTGTTGCACTTCGTCGTCGTCACTAGCGCCACATTTCCGTCGGGTCTCGAAGTCTCCTTACCACTTTCAACCGGCTTATTCCTCAAGTTTCCTGCAACCTATTCCATACCAACGATCGACATGACTCAAGACGTACCTTCGGTTCCTTCTTAGTCTGCTTCGGGCGCCAGAGCTGAGAGAGCTGGCTCGCCTCCGCCAGCCGCTCCCCAGAACCCCACCTTAGGCTTGGTCCCGGACACTGCCAGGGCCCAGATGGAGTAAGCGCGTGCGCTGATTGCGCTGGGCAACAGCTCTGGTGGCATGCTCCCGCCCCTCTCTGAAGCAGGGCGACGTCTCCGCGACTCTCTCCTGTGTCCGTAATATCCGCTGGCCTCGGAAACCTACTGCTCGGGCGTGCAGATCGTCTCTCGACAATATGCCGGGCCTCAAGTGAAAGAGAGCCTCGGAATTCGTTCTGTCCAGGTCTCGCTCCCCACCGGCGATGGAGCTGAAGTGGATTTGGCGACAGTTCTGGGGCCTGTGACTCTCCCCCCACCGTTCACCTACTTTCCTGTGTCCGCGGAAGGCGTGCGGGTTGTCGCTTCCGGGAACTCTGAGAGCTTGTAGATGTGCGACGTTGGGGGTCTAGTGCACGTTGCGGTCCGGGTCCCGTCGTTCTCAGTCGTGCAGCTCGACACATTGTCTCGACTGGTTGTCGGGGGCGACCGCACTGCTACCGATATCCTGTCGCCAGCACATCCCCAAGGGGTCCCAGTGGCAGTGGACCCAGACCAACGTGCACAGGCCGAGGAACTTCATGCAGGTCCACTGATCGGCGCGTTCGGAGCGGCATGTTTCAGGCGTCTAGTGCTGAACACGTTGAACGCGCTTCACCTCGCCCTGGCTCACATCGTGACTCTGGAGCCTCTCCGGAACCTCGCCACGACCACGAATCCGGGAGCGCTACTGCGAACGCGTTGCTGACCATGGCCCTGCATCGGTCCCAGGACCAGTTGACAAAGAGTCATCGGGAACGGGACGTGGCGCCTCCGCGAGGAGGAGGCGTCTACGACTGCGGCTCTCAGGGCTGTTGTAGCCCGGACTCAGGTCACCTGGAGCCATGAGTACCAGGATTGGTCACAGGCCGAGGAACGTCTGGAGAGGCTGGAGCCAGCTCACGCCGACTTGGAGCGCTCCCTAAGCGAAGCCACCGCGGAGACGGTGAGGCTCCAAGGCACTCTCAACTCGGCGACTGCAGAGTGCCAGGAGGCGCGGAGTGAGCGGGATGTAGGCGGGATGCGACTCAGACCGAATTGGCTACACGATCTCCGACTCCCCCCAGTGACACCGTTCCCAAAGTCGATCACGACGCGGAAGTGCTGGTCTGCGAAACTCGCTGCAGGCGTTACAGGTGGCTAACGAAAATCTCCAGCAGGATCGAGACCGCCTTCGAAGCCTGGCTGATCCTCAAGCTCTAGTCGCGTACTTCGTCTCGATGGGCGTGAATGGAGATGGTGCTGCCTTCTAGGAACAAATACAGGCGTAGTTCCAACGTCGTCCACGGCTGCCCTACACCATTTATCTGTTCTTAGGGAGGAACACCCATGCCCTCGTCTGGGGGCGACTCGGGGACGACGGGTGGAGGTAGTCTTGGCGGTGATGGGGGGGTGCCCGGGACTACGTCCCAGGGGTCCACTTCTTCGGGTGCCAGCTCTACTCCGTCCGGTTCGTCAAGCGACGCTGGGTCAGGGAACGCTTCGCCACCTTCTGGGCTCCGGTCCTGCGGCTATTGGAGCTTCTACGGCGTGCTCCACCGTGTCTCCCGCCGCGAGTCGCCTTTCCGAGGGGTCTCCAGAACCCAAGTCTGTTTCGTCCCCGTCACCAACGCATTCAATGCTGCGTCCCGACGTTCCCCAATAAAAAGGCTACAATATTGGTCCGGGATCCTCCGCTAGCGCCAAGTCGCCTCTCTCCGGGGGTCACAAGTCCCCAAAACACATCCGCTTCACGGAGCTTCCAGACTACGAGGGCAATGCCCCCGACGGGCTACCGAAGGACGTAGTCTAGGACCACTATGCGATGTGTGACGGGGGCGACGATGTCGAGGACTCACAAGAGGAGGAAGCCGGGGCTGGGGACGACGGTGATGACGTAGAAATCTTGCCCGGAGGTGGTTCCCAGGCGCCTCTGCGTTTGTCGGCCGATGGCCAGCGGCAGGTTCAACTCCGGGTATACACTCCCCAGACCAATCCGAAGGCACTCTTCTACCGTGTCATGGATGATGACGCCGAGCCCCCTCGCTCGGACGACGACTTGAAGGTGTTACCCGCTGACACCAACCTCTCGTACGTGCGTCTCGATACCCTTGAGGTCTGGTGAATGTACTCTCACAGAGGCAGAGGCCGTGGTTCTGGGGACAACTGCCGAAGACATCGTGGTCCATGCGAACCTCCGTCGCGACGTGATCTGCGAGATCATCCGGCGCCTCTTGTGCCTTTGGAGCTTGGACGACGTCGACTGGCTCAGACACGTCCCCGAAGAGTATTTCGACCGGGCTTACAAGCGCGCGGAGGAGACGAATTGGGTGGTCGGGGTAGATTCCCCTGGCTGTCTGTTCCTATGGAGCCTCACGAGGCTTCGGAACCGTCGGATGGTGATGACGACGCCTCCGACATGGAGGACGAAGTCCCGAGCACACCCAATACTGGTCGTTCGAAGAAAAGAGTCTCGGGAAGCTCTGCTTCCACGACTTCTCCATACGGTAAGAGACCTCGGCGCTCGGGGCCCCACTCCAGACTCAGCACGCCGTGTGGTTTGGCTCCCCGAGGTGTCGTCTGACGTCTCATCGGACGAGCTCTGTTCTCCAGTGCGTCGGCGCAGGTTGTCGCTCCCCTAGAACGCTGCTCCCGACTTCTGTCACACGGACACCGCGGACGCCATATCCTGGTTCGTCAACGGCGTTCAGGTGCATCCGGAGAGTCAGTCTGGGAAGCACCAGACACGTGGGTTCCTTGACTACGAGGTCGTGCCCACCTCGTCGGCGGAGGCGAAGGGTCGCCTGGACATCGTGGACTTGGTGGATGGTTCTGGGCTTGGCGAAGACACCCCCTGGGACACGATGTTCCGATACCGAGAGGAGGTGTTTTGGTTCCCCTGTGAGTAGATTTCTGAGGAGTGCCCCTCAGGCTTCAGCGGCGACTTCATGGTCATCGCCTCAGAGTACGTGTTGCTCATGTTTGTGCATCGCCAGGCTCAGTGGGAACGCGGTCACTGGGTGGTGTTCGACCGTTCCGGCGAAGCGTAGAAGCAAGTGTACCTGGACCGCGCTTCTCGCCAGAGACTCTGGTACAAGGCGCTGACGAAGTTGCGTGTCAAGGTGGCCCTGCTACCAGCACGGGAGCGGAAGTGATTTCGTTGCGAGTCTGGGCTCTGGCGCCGTCCCAGACTCCCAATCGCGTGGGTCCACGTGGCGACCACACTCCATCTCTACGTGATCTGCGTCGGGCACTGAACCGCCGCGACCCAGCTCGCGTCTACTGGGAGCTTCCGGGCTCCGCTTTGCGTCGCTCAGAAAGCGTGTCCCCAACTACTTAAGGGGCTGACCCCGATGACCGCATCTTCATTCCTCTTCCTGATGACTTGTCTGCAGAGTTCGTGGACTAAGTGTTTTACTCCAGGCCCCTGAGGTCTTAATCTTTTCAATACATCTTGGCGTTTGCTTCGTCTTGGTCCTGTCTGTTTGCCTGGTTGTCTTCAAGTCTTCATGTCTTTCTTTTGGTAACATGTATATATCATGCAAACATGCAATCACCTGTGTCCCAGAGGGTATTCTCATCTGGGGACACAAAGCTTCTGGGGGACACGCCAGGGCGCACTTGGCAGTGGGCCCCGGGTCCACGCCCCATGAAACATGCACTTCATTCATGTTCTGGGGAGTATTCTCACCCGAGAACATGGGGTCTCTGAGGGATACTTCAGGGCCCACTACTGTGGTAGGCTGCATGGCTCTACCGGACTTCTTCGTCCGGGAGCTCGTCTCCAGACTGCATGGCCTGGAAACGCACACGGGCTCGCTCTCCTTGGTAAGATTCCTAGAGCAGCCTCCCGCAGTTGAGGCGTCCTCGGGGAATCCAATCTGGAGCCTCGTAGCCTTTCCATTTCACTAGGTATCCCTTGACGCGCTGGCTGGTGCAGGTCCGGGTGACCCAGCGCACGTCGAGTATCGTTTCCACCTCGTACTCCCTGGAGCCTTCATCGGGTTCCCAACTATCTTCACGGAGCAAGCAGCGTCGAAGTCGTCGTCCTCGGGGATGTCTATGGTTCCCGCGGTCCGCTCCGGGTATTTGGCTTGGGGCTTAAGACTGCTAACGTGGACCCAGGTACTCCATACCCTCGACCTGGAGGCAGTATCGGAAATCGCTACCTTTTTCCCGGATCCAGAACGGGCCGTGCCAGATATGTGCGAGCTTCTTGGTGAGTCTGGGACGGACTCGGGCTAGGTACAGCCATACTGAGTCCCCGACCTCGAAATCATCCTTGAGTCGGTCTGTAAGCTGCTTCCACTTGCGGTTATGGTCCTCGGCACGGCGCTTCTTGGCTTTGCTTGGAGGTCCCGGGCCCAGCCTCTCGCGTGTTCCACCTGGCGGTGCACCTTCGTGCGCCATTCCTGAGGGTCCCTAAGCTGCACGTCTCGGGGAACGTTTCTCATCAAGACTTCGACGGTACCCTGGGCGTCCCAACCGTGCACCAAGTAAAACGGCGTGCCAAGTCGGGTGAAGTCGAAAAAGGTGTTCAGCGCCCACATGAGCGTTTCGGCTAGCTCGTCCCAGTCACGCTGGTCCACAGTCTATACGTACGCCTTAACACTGCGGATCATCGTTTGCACGGACCTCTCTTGTTGTCCATTGGCCTGGGGGCGATACACTAGAGTCACGCGTTGCCTGCTCCCGAGCATCTCCCGAAAGTGCTTGAACACCTGATCCATAAAGCGCGGGTCTCGGCCGTGACGGATCATCTCACTGGCTCCGAATCTCCGGAACATGCACTCTTCGTAGGCTTCAGCCACAGCTTGGGCTTCAGTGCTCGCCATGGCCTTGCTCATGATAAAACCAGAGAACGCGCACTGGAACAGGAGCAGCGCCGTATTGGCCCATGCGGACCGAAGTAGCAGTATCACAAAGTCCATGGAGACGACCTGGAACGGTCGCGTAGCCAACAGGTTGCCGAGTGTCGGGCCCGGGTTCCGGGATAGTCCCTTAGCCGTGACACAGTCAACGCACTCTTTGACGTACTGCTCGGTGTGCTTAAACATGCCAATCCAGTAGAACTCCGTAGGCAGTCTCTCGTAGGTCCGGATGATCCCCTGATGAGCGCCTTGGAAGTCCACGTGGCAGTGGTGCAGAATGTCCTCCTGGAGATCCCGAGATATTACCAGGCAGAGACGGTCTACGGCGTCTCGAGGACGTTCTGGGGTGTTCCGGTTCACGTAAAACAAGTCGTCTTGGGAGTCCAATACAAATTGGTTCGCCATCTTGGCCAAGTGTGTTGTCTGCTTCAGGGACAATTGCTCGGTCACGCCTCGGAGGAACCTTACCGAGGGCGCTAGCCCCGGGTCGTGTGCCTGGTGAGAGCAAATCCTCCTCCACGGTTCTCTGCGAACGTCTTCAGGGTCCTCTTCAGAGTCCCGGCGATTGGGACTCTGGGGAACAGCTGTCGATTCGTCTTCCGTACCTTCGGTTCCCGACTCGTTGATTCCGGATTCATTGGTTCCGAGGCCATCAGTCCCGGAGTCATCGGTCCCAGAGTCGTCGGTTACAGAGTCCTTGAGTCCAGGGTGGGGTCATCCGTTCCAGAGTCGTCGGCTCCGGGACCCGGAGCCGATTCCTCTGTAGCCTTGACCTGCTAGGACTCCGAGCGCGTCACCGCGAACACGTCGCCTTCTAACCCTTCTGATGAGCGCTTGGGTATGGTCTGAGCCATGGTCAGGAACGTGCACTCCACAGTGACTGTTCTCAGGGGCTCGGGTCCTTCATCAGTTTTTAGTGGATTCGGCTCAGGCCTTGGAGCAATTTGCGTTCTCCGGGGTCCGTATCTTCCAATGATGACTAGTCCTGAATGACGCGCTTGGAGATGTAGTATGTAGCAGCGTTGAAATCTCTTTTCACGTGAACTAGGCGTAAGGACTTGAACCGTGCTTGGAGTCCTTCAGTCTCCTGGAGTAACCTCAACAGTTGGGTCTGGGTACAGCCAATGACGCCTTGGAGCTGCTGTATTGCAAGTCGGAAGTCCCCGCCTGCAACCAGTTCCTGGACCCTCGTGTCTAGAGCGAGTTGCATGCCCTTGACTAGTCCATAGTACTCGGTTTCATCCACGGTAGCTATCTCCAGAAAGTGCTCCGCGGCCGCGACGATTTCCCAACTCGGGAGGCTCCAGAATATACAAGCAACGCCCCCAGTCCCATCTCTCTTGGCGGCTCCGTCGAAACTCAACAGGTGCCCGATGTGGTCACTAGAAAGCATTTCCAGACTGACTAGCGGTGTCTTGATTCGGGAGCCCTTTCCCGGAACCAGGGTTTCGGTGACCTCATCGAGGCGTTCCCGGGGGTGATACCCGCCCCCAGGATCGCTGCTGTGGCGAAGTGGCTTGGCAGAAATTGCTGACTGCCGCTATCCAGCTCGCTACAGTGCCTCGGACGACCGCCTAACGGAGGGGGTACTCCGAATGTCCGCTGATGCTGAGGTTCTTCTCACCTTGTGTACCTATCGGTGGGGCGGGGTTACACTCTTCCGGTGACTTGAGGATGCCTTGGTTGTTGATCTTGGGGACCGTATGGACGGTACTTAGGATTGTTGACTACCGCGCAGTTACTTCTTCACGCGGCGTCGGTTGTGGGATGTAGATCAAGTAATCGGTCTACGTGTCCTTGTGTGTTGTTGTCTTCCTTTCCGTTGCTTGCCGCTTCCAATAGCGGGATCTTGAGGGGGGTTGTTGCTCACTCCCTAGCCAAGCGATCTAGGGGCTCTCGGTGATTTCCCTTCGTGTGCTCTGGTGTCTCCTTGGTCGTCAGGGGGACCAATGTACGTTCCCTGTCTGGTATGGAGTGTCATGTGGCTTAAGAAGAGAAGGAGTCCAATGTGAGGGGTCCAAAGAATATTTTGAAGTCTGCCTATCTCTCCCTAGCCTATCCGCACAGCCACTCATTCCTAAACCGTACCCACGTGCGCCATAATCCCGGCGCCCTTGTACCCATATCAGCCATGCTCATCTTGTACCAGAAACTGGGTACCTCACCTGGCGATTTTCGACCTTCGATCTCCGGTTCATGACCTTCGATCTTAGGCCCTTTCTCCCAGACTTTCGATCTTCGATCTTGGATCCTCATCTCGTTCTTCCTATCTTCGGTCTTCGACCTTGGATCTTCGACCTTGGATCTTCGACCTTGGATCTTCGATCTAGATCGAAACTGGTAGATCGAAGTTGGTAGATCGAGGTCGGCACCGGGCGGTCAGCCTTGTGTGTTCCACATCATATTGACTTGTTGTGGAACATGTCGCAGTAGATTCTTTAGTTTATGTCTCAGACCCCAGTCTCAGTCGTGGATCAAGACCCAACTACCGGATCTCACACTCGGAAACTTCGATAGCCGGTCATGTCTTCTCGTGCTCCCACCTATGACTCTCCTTCGGGCAGGAACCCTGGTGCTCCCCAGCAGGGGTATCCTCCAGATGCGACGACCTCTTCTGTCACCCCACCTGGTGCCTACTCCCATCTTCTCTCCTTCCTTCGCGCAGCGTAGATCACCTGCTGAATGCTGGTGTTCTTCTTCTTTGCAACCCCCAGTCCTGTCGGTCCCACTGTGCCTCCTACCGTGTCAGTTGCTGTACCAGCATTTAATGCCACCGCCGTGTACGGAGCGCTGGATGTGCTCGCGCTATCGCTCCAGCATGTGGAGGCCCTACAGTCGCTTGAGGATGATCATGGATCTGAGCTTTCTGCTCGGCGTTCGCGTACGCTGTACGAGCGATGGTAACATCACGCTCTGGGGAACAGAAGTTATTGGGATGATATGATCCAAATCCAGAATGAGAACGTACGCAGATCTTCGCTTTGGTCGCGGTGCCCCTTTTCACGCCTGACGTCACCGGCGAGTTTGACGCGAAGAACATCACTGCGCGACTTCACCCGCCTGATCTCCTCAATGTGTTTCTGGATCCGGCTCTGGAGCTTGTCGGCCTCACGATCCTTGGCTTGGACCTGGGCATTTAATGTGTCTCGCTGCGAGAGACTTGATCGAAACGGTCCGGGAGGTTGCTGTACTTGGATGGCATGTGATCCAGCTGTACCTGAAGATCCGCGGACGGTTGATCTGGCGAGACGATGGCAGCGACTTGTTCCGCGACTAGCAGATCCGCCTCTGTCTGATCCAGAGTCAAACATGTGTGGCGGAGTACGGCCTCGGTTACCTGCAGCTGGTCGGCGGCCTGATCACGAGCACGATCGGTCGAGTCACGTTGCTCCTGTAGATCCAAGATCTCTTCGCCGGCATGCTCTCTCTCGTGCAGCAATTGCCCCACTCGAGACTCTAGATTCGCGACCTGATCTTCGAGAGCATGCACGCCAGCCGCGCAAAGTTGCGGATCCGGAGGAGTTGGGCCACCCGCGTCCACCGATACTTGTAGATCATCTCGCTCAACGCGAAGTCCGTTGATCGTCTGTTGCATGTGTGTGATCACCCGATCCTGCTCTTGGATGTAGTCGCGGAGGTCGGCCAACCGATCTTGGTGCTCCACGGACGGCGGATCCGAGCCGCGAGGCAAGGTCTGGATCACCAGAGCGGCCGTGACCTCACCCACACGACGGAAGGGACGCGTGGCATACCGGTGAAGCTCTTCGCGCGTACTGTGAGGATCGAAGCCGGATCTTGGTGATCCACCACTTGAGGATCCGCTGGGGCTTGGGACGTTGGACATCGTGGTGTTGGAGATCTGCGACGAGTGAGGGAGAAGAAGTGCCTGCAGCGATCCTATTTGGCAGCAACGACTACAGACAGGAGGCGATTGTGGTGAAGTGGATTCCGAGAAATTGCAGACAGGAAGTGATCGGGTCAAGTGGAGTGACAGGTATGCCTGGATCTACAGTGACTACCGTGGGTCCAGATCTGAGAAGGTCTGATGGACTCAGATCAACTGATTCTGAGG